AGGCGGCCTCGCCTCCCACGTGAAATAAACCCGCTGCGCCGAAAGGTCACCCCGCACAGGCGGACGCTCTGCGGTGACCTTCAGTCAGGCGATGCCTCGCGTCAGCCGTACCGAACAATAAGCAGAAGCGGCACAACTGCGCTTGCACGCTCGCCAGGGTCTCCTGCCCACCAGCAGTCGCTGCGTACTTAGCCGTATATTAATAAACCTGCCTTTTACCGCTTTCTCCCAAATGCTGGCACAAATTACCCTCATGCATCCATTTTTAGTAAAACAAATTAATTAGTTGCACATGGTCGTTTTCTATTTAATCTCTCGCAGAAAACGGGAAAAATTATTTATGAAAAGTATGTTACATCCAAAATTAATTTAATTTCATTGATATGCTGTTAGTATAAATAGCGCTTCTATAGACTGTGCTATAGTAAAAGTAATATTTGCAGTAAGAATTATTAAAGTAGCTAAGCTCGATGGAAAAAAAAGGACAAAATTCCTAGCATACAGGCCTAGGAAAGGCTTCTCCCTTTTGCCCAGAAGCTGGTCTGATAAAAGGTACTACTTCTTCCTACTTCTTCCTTCGTTGCCTCTTTGGTATCCTTCGCCTATTGTGGCAACAACATTATCGCAAATTACTATTATTATAAAATTACGCGATTTATACTTTTTCCTTTAATAGCATTTCAGAATCCATTCAGTATACTTGTTTAAGTGGTGAATGCTATTTAGGAGGGGATAAATACTGATTTACATTTATAAGTGTCTTTTAACATAGAGAAGACACTGTCAATGTGAAAATCTGTAGGGAGTGGGAGATGGCTTGGAGGATGGAGGGAATAATCATGTCACATTTAAGCCTGTATGATCTGTTTCCATAGAAAAAGGTTAGAGATCAACAAATTCTCAGTTTAGTTCAGTAATAAATGAAGGTTGGCTAGGGTATTAAGTTTCTGGGGGGAAGCATTAGCCAATATGTACAGCAGCAGCCTCTGGTGGTCTAAGAAAAAATGGTAGTATCTATAAGTAAGGATAGAAATATGCTTTTTAAAAGGATGTATGTACATATTTAGCTATTTGACTCAATCCTCCATTCAACACATTAAAAAACAGATGCTTTTAAAATGATCTGCTGGCAATATGCTTGTTAAAATCTGAACAGTAAGAGTATTAAAATTCATATGCATTCATTAGCATGTTATATAAAAGTAAAATGCCTTTGTTTAATCATTCCATAAAGTATTAGAGTCAATGCTGATTATCAAGAAGTTTTCTCCTTGGTTTGCACCGCCAAAAAAGAAACCAAATTTATAAGATTGTTACTGAATTGATGACATTTTCTGTCTTCACTCATGAATTCAGTTGGCAGATGTTTTCAAGAACAAAAAATTCTGTCCTATTACAAAACATATTAAGCAGGTTTTTCTGCCATAATGTTTGACATGATGTTTATTGCCCAGACCAAATCAGTCCCTTTAACAAGCTATAATGTATGCCAGAAAGTACATTATTTCATAGTTAAGGAAACTTCCAGCATGAAACAATAAGTACTTTGATCTTTCAAGCACTATACTTAATGCACTACACACTCCCATAGCCATTTGTATTTATACTAATTTTGTACAAAAATACAGTGCAATTTGAGATTTTGTATTTTAAGACTCTGCTTTTACATATTCTTAAGCATCCTAGCTATTTGGTTTTTTCTATGAAAATACTTAAAGAAATTTACCATGGAAGAGTTCCATTTTTCCAATTCTTGGAAGATCTAACAAGTGGGAGCATCATCCAGACAGCTTTAATTTGTTCAAATGGCGTTTCCTCATCGGATCACAACAGATCTCAATGACCTTACAAGAACATAAGCGTGGATATTTATTCCTACTACTTAACAGTCTAAAGCAACTTCTCCAGCATATTTGACACAAACAGATTTTCCTTCAACATTAGATGCAGTTGATGCCTTCTTGTGAGAGTATTTTTCATCTAGTCTCTCTGCATCAGTTTGCCCTCCTTGGCAAAGATGACACAAGACTTACTCAGGTTTTTCAAAATTCTTCGATGAGATCATTACGAAGCATATACCATCCTTAAATATTTCTGTGGAGTGACAGTATGTTTTATTTCAAGAGCCCAGTGAGTCAAATGTGTGCTATACTACACAGTAAGTAAAGGTCATATCTGGATTGCCCTTTGAGATTACTCCAGACACCAGCTCCAACAGCAGCCTGCGGCTGCGGTGAGCCTGGCAGCAAGTCCCTGGGTGCAAACGAAGGGTGATTCCTGTAGCACACGTAATCCTACGGATTCAAGCACGGGAGGCAAGAAATACACTGCAAATACGGCATTGCACATTTTGTTTGCATCGTGCGATGCCTGGACAGACCGACAACCGTGTCTGTGGCCAGGAAGGTGGAGCAGAGCACGCTGTGGTCGCAGCTCCTCTTGCAGCCACCGAAGTTTTTAAGACTTAGCAGTTCTGCCCAACAGAGTAAATGGCACCCTGTTGGCAGTCCAGGTTTGTTGGACCACCAATAGGCAAGTAAATTGCAGTAATTTATCCTGCCACACACACCAGAGCAGGGACATTTTTCATTCTGTTTCAAAAAACTCTCTGTATTAGAGCCTATTAAACAAAAACCCCAAAGAATTCTTTCAGAATAAAACACCAACTGCATCAGAAAACCCAACTTTAGATAATTCACCCAGGAAAGGAGACCACCACCCACACTTTCACTAAAACCTATGCTACTTCCTTCCTTGGTCTGAAGAAATTCCAATAAAGGGAATGTCAACAGTCATACTGAGGCACAGAACCGCACAAAAAAGAAAATGGGATAGAGTCATGCATTTTATGTTTCGGGGGTCAGACCTCCTGAAGCCAAATTTCATGCCTCATCAAGCAAAAGAGCCACGAGAAGGTGGGACTGCTAAAAAGGTATCAAAAAAAGGCTCGCTTTCCACGAGGGGACCCTGGGCCAGCATGCTGACCGAATGCCTTTCTGGACAAGACAGCGACATCGTCCATGAGCTTCTGATGGACCTTGAGACAAGCCTGGTCGCCCCCTTGTAGAAGCCGGGTCTGGCTGGTGGGCAGAATGGCATCTCTCGTAAAAAGCAGCCGAGAGAAAAAGCAGTGCCCTGTTGGTGACTTTGAATACGTATGTGCATCCTTTTGTTTCCCATACTCAGTAGCAAGGTATTTCTCAAAAAAGACAGTAGGAATTACGGTATTAGTGACAAACTCACATCCAGGTTACAAACCCTTTTAACTAGCCAGTACAGCTGTGTTTCTTCTACAAACGCTGTTATGCTAAACCACAATTAATAGGAACTTGTTAAAATTTAAGATGATTCTAACATCCCTTTTGCTGGATTTTTCTCTGTTTCGCGCTAGAAAGGCATACACTTTTTTACTGTTTTAACTACACTGTGGCGTTTTTGACATGTTTTACCATTGAATGCAAATGCTAACTTTCATAATAAAGGCTTTGGAAATTGCATGACTCAGTCTCGAATGTATAATGCATAGTATGTATATGAAGCAGAATGTGTCAAAGTGCAAATAATATTGTTTGTGGCCCCTGCAGAATTAGAAGTCCTCAGTTAGCACTGCTGTAACGATCCCATGCTGGTAGCATTACAAAGTGCGAAGGTTCACTGAGTAAGAAAAGAGCAAGGGACAGAGTTTCCTCATTACACCATTCTCGAACTATTCTAGCTTAAATATTTATTAAGATATTTATAACTCTCCTTTATCTGCCTTCAGAAGTTCAGTTGAAACACAATGGATGGCTGCTCATATGAAAACAATACATTATAGGGTAAATCTGCTACCACACAAGATGAACACCAGTATTTTCCACAATACATTATTAATTCAGCAGGTAATATGTTAAAAAACTATCAGGCTATAACTACCGCCTCCCCAGTATAAGACAATATAATACAATAAATGCATGCATGACATGTGAAGCTAATATGTTGTCTAAGCTGCGCTAGAAAATATTTCTTAAGTACATCTCTGTTTATGAAATCATTTTTACAAAGTCTTCCTTAAATCATTCTCTTTCTTGATAGCACCAGTGAGTTCCTCTGGGGCTTATTTGAAGTTCCTCTTTGAAATTAGAGAGGAATGTTTTGTAACTTCCAAAACTTCACATTCAATAAGTGACAAAAAATATCAATAGAATAAAGGAACTTTGTACGAACTCTTGAATGCCATCTTGGTAATGTGTTTGCTTTTAAAAAAACATGCTATTTATTAGCCAATACGGACAGTAAACATATCTACATATCATCAAAGAAGGGCAAATAAAACCAAGAGAAACTTACTCTAATATACATGTGCATAGTTTCTTTTTCTTTTTGTGGATTTCGATACTTTTCGTAGAAGTCACGTCGCTTCTTTGTTTCCTTCTGGATTTTATCTTTTCTTTCCCTCTTTTCTGCAGGTTCATCTGAGCTATCAGAAGACAGCTGTACTTGGGCTTTTGTCTTCTCCACTTCAATATAGTTCTCATTGGGATTCAGTACTATTACTCCATAGCCTTCCTGTTTTAGAAGAGACACACACACACACACAAGAAGAAGAAATATGGAAAGGGAGATTTAATGCTTGAAAATGCTTTGCATTTACTTTAATGCTCTTAAAAACTTTTATATTTATTTCAGCAAGTTCACACAACATGATTTATAGAAGGGTACTTTAAGAATATTCTGTTTGTTTCATTTCTGTCATTAAAGGGATATTGATGTGTGAATATGTGTCTGTGCGTGCACTTATGCTCATACACATTCCTCAGCATCAGAAAAGTTGCCTGTTTTACCTGTAAAATAATTTAATATGTTGTTTTATTCATAAGCACTTTATACGACTTTTTCAGAAAACAGTACGAGAACTAAAAGTAAAATATTATTTTAAGAACTCTACATAATGATGAATAAAAAGCTTTATACCCAGCCAATAAAAACCTTTAAAATAAAAAGGATGGAGGGATTTCATATATTTTTATATATTAAAGAAAGCATGTGGAAATTATTCACCGCAGTTTAAAACAGTAAAACCTTTTGTCTAGCTGACAGCAAGCATACCATGCGGAAGCCAACAGCGGCAGTAACAATGAATCAATACCAAAACTGATTCAGTGGTATAGCTTACAAGTCAACTCTTTTACTGTGGGGACGACTTCTAAGCACATCTTTAAATCTGCTGTAAAACTTCACTGGCATTATGTCCTGTATTCAACAAACCCAGAGAAAATTCGTGACCTGCAGGATGCTTTTGAGCATACCAGCTGCATTTTTGTGCCTCAGAAAATGAGCCGGTTGAAAAATACATGAATTTATGAATGAGAAATAAATCTTGAATAAATCAGCCAATCATTTTATTATGATTTTTAAATGATGGCAAATCACACAAGAATTGTAATATTCGTGGAAGACATAATCGCGAACGCAGGGAGAAAAGAGAAGCACGTGCGTTTAACAGATGAGTCCTTAAAGTCACCATGGGTTCCCAGTCAAAATCAAGCTGTCCTTTAAAAGTGAATTTTAATAAAGACTTACTTTTTGGAAACATCTATATTAATTATTTAGCCGAACAGCTTTATTCCAGCCGTTCATTTGGTGCTTCGTTTCGCACTTGGGGTAGGCACAAGGATCAAAGAGGTCCCCGTACCTAGCTGGCCAGAGCAAACCAAGCCCACGCCAACAAAAGATACTTTATTTGGGCTTGCTTTATTCTAATCTGTAGAGCCATTCACAAACCTTGTAGCGCATTGTGGCCACTGTCAGGTAGACAGATTGTCACTCGGTGATTTTCTACAGTTGGACACACTCGACTAGTTATCAAAATCGCATCTGAAGGGAGTTCCTACCCCTCGTCCTTGTGCCCTTCTCAAACGTCTGCCGTAGCTTCTCCTCCCACCAAAAACCAAGTTAAAGGGCACGGTTGCACTCTGCTAAACAGGGTGAAATAGCGGCATTCAGGACACCGTCTCTGGCGTAAGGGACGTAGTCAAAAAAGGTCACACAGGCCAAAGAGAAAATTGCCTCCTCGCTAGACGCGGCGCCGCGAGTGAGTGGTCTCCTGTCACGCCGCTCCCCTGCCCTCCCTGCTGCGCGAACTGCACCGGGATAAATACAAACAAACAGGCAAATAAATAAATAAACAAGGGGGGGAGGCTGAAGGAAAACGGAAAATTACGGAAGACAAAGTTTGAAACCTACCCACGCCATTGCTTAACACCGTAACCTCGCCGTATCAACACACAACGCTGTACCATTAACGCATAAAATTTCCAACTTGGAAAATTCAAAGCCCAAAATCTATCGCAGGGGAGAACACCACTTACAGACCTTCCTCAATTAGACGCCTGAGAGGAAAGGAAGGTTTTTGAGCTCGCTAGCGGCAAAGCAGGACCAAGTTTTTGCAGTACTTGGCGGGCTGGTGGTCTTGGGGCTCTCTGTGCTGTTCATCTTCTTGACCCGCTCGTTTGGAGCAGAGACGTTCTGCGTATTGATTAGTTTTGCTTTCTATACAACGCCAGATGCAAAATTCATGTGTTTATTACAGGCCTACAAGTGTTACAGGGATTTGAAACTCCGTGTCCACTTTAGGCTGACCACAAAACAGACACATAAATCATCAAAGAAGTAGAATTTGTCTACGTTATTGATTATGTAACTGAAAATTACATGACTCATTTGTCCAATTTTATGAGGACACAATGTCAATTTTTCACACGGACATCAACAGATGAAATATGATTCCATTTTTAAATTCACTATTTCATAAATCAATTAAAGGATTTTTATCAATTATATTTTAAGCAGTGTAACATGTCCCCCTTTACATTTTTTTTTAAAATTTCTCCCAGATAGCAGGCCCTTCCTGTCAGTACAATTAAAATAATTAAGTAATAACTGAAATAGGTTTTCCCATAATTGAGGAAAAAAAAAAATCTTACAATTCATAAGACTTTCTCTTAGGAAAGTAACCTCTTTTCAGATTGTTTTGCTTACATGACGTAGTGTATTTCCCTTTCCCTTCTACTTCTGCAACCTAAATTGCAAGATGTAAACAACGGCACCCGGAAGAAGATTTGAGAGTAACATGTATAAAGCAACATGGAAAACCAAAATGACTGGTAAAACTGTACCCAGTTAGAATCTCTCTCATTCAGTCTTAGCCCAAGCATTTTCTACTGAAAAGGAATACTCAGCTCTAAATAACATCTATGTAAACAATGTGGCTTTTAAGTTCAATTCATTTTTAAAAAATGTATTTCAGGTGGGCACAGCGGCACCATTAACGTTCAGTGCAATCAGAAAATTAAAAAAAAAGGTGCAACTCCTCACTAATGCAGACTGCAAGTCAATGCAAAACTGAGCACACAAGGCCACTAATATATAAAAAAAGGCCTTTAGCAAACTTCAATAATCGGCAAGATACACAGTCTTTGGCATGACTGTTAAGCAAAGACAACATCACATTCATTAAAAAGTGTCTTTTTAAAGGAAAGCTGTGTTCAGCAGTATATACCTCACCATGTCATTAAAAATATCAACTTCAGCTATGATGAGCTTACAGCATTATTAAAACGTAGTGACCATGATGTAAGTAAGTACCATCATCCAGGAGAGTTTTTAAAGCTTGCCACCATCACTAAAACATTAGGTATGTTTTCAACAAACATAATAGTGGAGTAGTTTTCTCCTGTGTGTCCAGTGCACTCTCTAAAGTGCAAAGCTTTTTCATGGCAAAAAGCTAAACTTTGGGACAACCCCCCCTCCATCAATCTTCAGCTGACTGCAACAAGCCAAGCCCCGTGCTCTACCACATGCCTGAGAGAATACAGATGTTGCACAGAAGCCAAGGTCTGCCTGCATCCCCCATTAATGTATCTGTGATGAGATGCAATAATCAGGACAGACACCGATAAATACAAGTCCCAGGCTCTAATCTACGAGTTCAGTGGATACAACTACAGTTTCTCTCTCAGACTAAAATACCCAATTAACAGCTATTTCCCCAAATTCTAACCCTTCAAGGCAAGCAAAATGCAACCTACGCTAACTACTAGCATCCTCCAGGTAACTACGTCTGAGGCAGAGGACTCTGTGCAAACCCCACTTGCAGGTTCATAAATACAAATACAATTAATACTTATGATTGAGCCAGCAAATGATGATGAAAGGAAAAGCAGGCTGACAAAGTCAAACGTTGGAAAGAATCATGAATCTCGGTTACAGTACCTTTACTACAAAGCCAGAACAATGTAGAAGGGCCTTTTCCACCGTAACACACGAGCCAGAAATGGAGCGGAACTTTCTGCCTCTTACTGGAAGTTCAAGCGAGATGTTCGAAACGGAAGGAATACCAGAATTATTGCCTCTGACAGCAAGAGCAAGGTGAAAAAAAAAAGAACCCTGAAGTATTTGAGGTAAATTCCAACTCTTTTGAAATCTCTTCTGCCTGGCCACATGAATAATGAGCTGAAAGCATTCAGCTCTGCATATTAATCCACCAAGATGGGACACCATATGTGACCAGAGAGGTCAGGGCTGGAGAGGAATCTTTTGACCTGTGTAACTGACTTTTTGGACTGCGAGCGAGGGTCTGAAAGAGATCATTTTCCTAAGCTTTATCAACCTGAATTTTCAAGTTCAGGTTTCCATTTGGATCGTTGGCGACACGACCGGAGTTAATTCCCAGGGGAAATGCAACTCAAAGTGCTCAGCTCTTAAACCTGCCCGTGGTTAAAAGGGACACAGCCACGTCCATTCATCTTTCTGGAAGATGTATGTTCTGCTCATTTCCCATCTTCTCCATGAGAAGGGTACATCTATGTCACTGTTGCGACATCGTAGGTGCAACAGTGGGATGAGGTCATGACAACCAATCAGAAGTCACTAGTGAAGCGTTAAAGTAAACATAGCTGTTGGAGATGCAGCTCAGCTTGAAAAATGCCCCCTCCATTATTTGAGCAATTTTCTCAAGACGTGACCTGAGACTGAAACGCCTGAAATGTCAGTTGACTCCGCTTTCTGTTTCCACCCAACGTACATTTTGGCAACTGCACCCTGCTAATACTTTGCGATATTTCCATCGCGGCTACACCTCGGCTGCCTGAATTCCAGCACTGTGTCCAAGTGTGTAAAAATGCTGTGTTACTGCCAAACACACATTGTCCCACTAAGTTCCCAACTTAAAATAGCTCATCAAGTTAGGCAGGAAAAGAAAACATGCCACAAAAAGTTTTTAGAGGACCACCTGTTGTCTATTATTTTTACATAGCACTTACTCATAAATCATAACACAGGGTAATTAATCAAGCTGTCAAAGAGAAGGTCAAAGGTTATGTGGGGGAGTCAGAAGGTCATGCATGGGCTGATAGAGGTCAGGGTCACACCGCATTCCTCATTATCAAGTTGGGATGAGAGACGGCCCAAGCAAACAAAAGTGAAAGCAGATGGAGAAGTGAGTGGATAAAAAAAAGGAGAAAATTTCACAAACAAAAAGAAAAGTGAAAGAAGAATGTCAGTTGCCT